AGCATTCTCTATATTTTCTCCTACTTTTCTTTATGTTTTTAATTTCTTTTCCATTCACTTGTTGTGTTTCTATTTTTAATTCTTGTTCTTGTTTGGTTGCATTGTAATTAAGAGATTGTAGTCTTTAAAATGTATTAATTTTCTTCTTTAAATATTGGTAATGATCTACTTTATTTGGAGAACTCACAGAAATGGTTAGTATGTCAGGAGGGTTTGTGTGCTCAAAGAGTGTCTTATTTGCTTACTGTTTTGCTGCAATGTAAGATGGTAAAAGTGATTTATTCTTTCAATATGTGTTGGGACAGCAGATGGCATTCCCAATGACAGTAGTGACAGTGAAATGGAGGACAGAACTACTGCTAATTTGGTGGCTTTGAAGCTTGATGAGTGGCTCAATTTTAAACTAGAACCAGAGGTGAGTTTCTTTTTAATAGGAAATAGAAGGGATGATCAAAAAAATAGGTGAACATTTAAATTAAAAATTTGTTACAGTAAAATACACATTGCCATTAATCCTCCTTGCTCTCAACATACTTATACTATCATTCTTGCTGCTCCCTGAAGCAGCTTTGGAAGTTCTCTTTTGTGAGTGTCTTTATGTAGTATGATCAGAAATACAGTAGATGTTGCTGCCTAGTGCTATCCAATAGAAAGGCAGACTTGTAAAAACATTGCAGTGTGTCCTCATCCACCTTATTCACTGGATCTGCCACTAAGCAACTTCTGGCTCTTCCCCAAAGTCAAAATGATCATGACAGGTCAGTGTTTGGAATCAGTTCAGAACATCGAGGCCCCCCAGGACAGTGTAAAGTCTCATAAAGTTTTTAAAATTCAGTATGATAAAATTTTTATCTTTAGTACTAAGCCTTTAATATTTGATAAATAGAGCTTTTTTCAGTTTTAATAAGATCCTCATGCATGTTCTACTGTATTGGTTTCTTTTTTTTCCAGCAAGAGGTGTAAAAAACCTAGGTGTGGTTCAGTATTTAATGGGTGATTGTAGTTTTAGTCCATTTGTGCTGCTATAGCAGAATGCCACAGACACAGTTCTACAGGCTGAGAATTCCAAGGTCAAGTGCTGGTGAGGACTGCTTCGTGCTGTTAAGATGGCTTCTTGAAAACTGTGTCTTTTATTTTTTTTTTTTTGGTACCGGGGATTGAACTCAGGACCTTCCGCTTGTGAGGCAGGCGGCAGAACCACTGAGCTAAATCCCTGGCCTTTGAACTGTGTCCTCTGCAGGGGACAAATGCTGTGTCCTCACAAGGCAGAAGAAGGATGAACTCCTTCCGTGAAGCCCTTTTGTAAGGGCTTGTAATTCCAGTCATCTCCCCAAGGTTACACCTCCCAATATTGTTCCATGAGGGATTGAGTTCAACATGAATTTTTAGAGTAGACAAAAACATTCCAGTGATAGCAGTAATATATGAGTATTTCTGCATATGTAAAAAATACTGAGTATTGAGTACATGAGAACTTTATTTTGGGTAATTCTGTTTTTGAGAGGAAGATATGAGTTCATTTTTTTTTTTTTGAATTGGAAAGGATAAAGATTTTTTCAAATTAAAAAAATTTCTTGACAGAACCTTCCCTTAATTCCATCTGTGCTTCAAAAAATCATTCTATATCCACGGGCGGAGGTAACAACTAAGGTGTCAGTAGTCAGCATTAGTTAGATTTACTTTTTAAATAATCCATTCATCACTCCAGCTTACTGCAGTCTCTTTTCCATTCCCACCAGCCCTTTATTTCACTAAATTGTCCTGGGTAAAGTCATCTGTGTCCTCCATTCCTCCACTTGTCAAAGCCAGTCTGTTCTTGATTGCCTCTCTAATATTTGACTCTCTCTAATACTTACCTCTTTTTAGTAATTCTGCCCTTCCCCATTTTTCCCCCACATTCCTGCCTCTTCTTTGTTATTAGTTACTGTGCCATTAATGCTTTTAATTCTTCTGTATTCATTCCTTCTTAGGTTATTTCACAAACTCTTTGTGCTTTTAGGTTTTTTTTTGGTACTGGGGATCGAACTCTGGTCCTTGCGCTTGGGCAGCAGGCGGCAAAACCACTGAGCTAAATTCCCGGCCCCTGTGCTTTTAGTTTTAAATTCACTTGTTCTCTGTGTCTTGCTCTCTTCTCTCTCTCTGCACAATTCCTGGAAACCTTATCTCTATTTGTAGCTTTAGTTATGCACTCATGACTTCCAAGTTTTTATCTTTGGCATAGGCCTTTCTGTGAATCCAAATGCCTTCTGTACATCATCATTTGGACGCTTTGCAGATACTACAATTTGAATAAAACTACTAAATGTATTTTTGTTTATTTAGCTTGCTGCTGCTTTTTCAATATTAATCACATTCTACACAGTCAGTGTTGACTGCCTTATGAGATGTTTCTTTGGTTTTGTGTCTCTAGTGCCTGGAATATGATAAATAAGTGCCATTCATGAAATGAATGAAAATAGTAAATTATATTAAATGTGAACTGTGTTTTTTGGAAATAGTTGTAGACCTTAACTGATAAGTAATATTTTACATATCTGATATACTTTACTTAACTTTATCTGTTTGAACAGGCAGCCAGTTTATTGCTGCAACTCAGACAGAAGTGGCATAGCTTATTTTTACGCCGAATGAGAGCTCCATCTAAACCTTGGTCTCAAGTTGATGAAGCTACCATAAGAGCAATTATAGCTGTTTTAAGCACTGAAGAACAGTCTGCAGGTTTACAACAACCATCTGGGATTGGCCAAAGGCCAAGACCTATGTCTTCAGAAGAACTTCCTTTGGCATCATCTTGGAGGGCAAATAATAGCAGGAAAAGTGCAGCAGATTGTGAATTTTCTGATGAGTCTACTACTGCTGAAAGGTAAATTATAAATGGGAGAGTTTTTTTTTCAGGAAAATTATGTGTGCTATTTAATAATTACTTTCTCATAATCTAGGATACATAAAAGGATTACAATAAAATAAGTTTTTTATTTATAAAATATACTTATAAATATTAAGATAATATGGGCCAGGGATTTAGCTCAGAGGTTTCGCTGCCTGCTGCACAAAGCGCAAGGACCCGAGTTCAATCCCCGGTACCAAAAAAAAAGAAAAAAAATAATAATATGGAAGATTTTAAGACACTCGTACATATTGATGAATTAGCCCATTCTTTCTAGGAAAACTGAAAATGTTTCATTTTCAGGACTTAAAATTTAAGCTCTCTTAGCAGATTTTAAAATTATTTATTTTAGTTGGTACATGTCAGGTGACATATTTCCTGGATATGTGCACTGAGCAGTACTGGCTATGGCTGTGTTTAAAGAACAGCTTTCCCACAAACCTTGAGTAGTATTGGTATATAGACTAATATTCCCTCAGAAGTAATCTTTCATTCATTCCTGGCACATCAAATACCTGGTCTTAGTAGGAGAGGTAGAGTAGTGAACAAAACAGTAAGACCTTTTCTTGCACAGAGTTTGCATTTTTGTGAAGGAGGCACAAAATTACTGTCATGTGGCAAAATTCCTATTAGAGTTCAGCAAATTTTTTTTTCTAGTATTTTGCAGTTAAATGTATTGTCATATGATTAAGAGAGTTCTTACCTGAATTATTTATGTAAACAATGTATTTTAGTATTAGTGCTTATAATGAATTGTTGACCATGAGCCAAAAATATTTCTGGTTATGAAAGCATTTTAAATTATTTTGTGTCAGTTAAAAGCTTTATAAGCCACATTGGAATTCATAGCAAAGTTAATATTCTTACCTGTGAGACTAGTTTGGAGAATATTAGTAAAAGTCTCTGTAATAAGAATATGATTTCAACCTGGCATTACAGCAGTCTGGGTGGCTGAGGTAGAAGGATTGTAAGTTTGAGCCCTGCCTGGGCAACTTACCAAGACCTTGTCTCAAAATAAACAAATAAATGGGCTAGAGATGTGGCTCCGTGGGAAGGCCCTAGTTCAACCTTTAGTACTGCTAAAATGAAGGATTCCATAGTTGAAAAACTGAAAATTAATGTAAGTATAAGTGATGCTTATTTTTTTAAGGAAAAGATAGTGTTTTTAGAACCTTCTTTTGATCAGATTTTACATATTAAGTGAAGCAAAAGCCTTTGTAGGTTTGTCATTTGATTTCAATGAAAGAGAAATAAAAAATACTAGTTTCCAAGTTCTTAAGGGAAAAATTTAGCTACTTTCCAAGAAAAGGTTATAATGTATGTACCTGGATGTTTCTGTTTCATTTTCAGCCTTTTAGATAGATACACATGGAGTTCTTGATGGGGAATAGAATGAGAACTCTTAGGAAGAAGTATATATTTATGTATGTGTCTCTAAGCCTTTTTTCTTTTAAATAACATAACATTGCACATATTTACGGGGTAGAGTGTGATGTTTCAGTACATTTGTATGGTGTGTAATCATCAAGTTAGCATCTCCATCTCCTTATTTCTTTATGTTTGGAGCCGCTGAGTGCTTCTTTGCTAAATCTTCATAAAATATATAATAGCTTTTTATAAACTATAATCATCCTTAGAAAAGACATTTTTTACTAAAAAATTTTTTTTTTTCAGTGTTGGAATTAACTCCAGGATGTTTGCAGTAAACCACTTTCATAGCCCATTTTACTTCTTATTTTTTGATTGGGTCTTACTAAGACCATAAGTTGCCCTGGCTGGCCTTCAACCTGTGATCTTCCTGCCTCTGCTTCCCAGTGTGCTGGTATTATAGGCATGAGCCACTACCTGGTTCTTAATTTTTAAATATACTAGGAGAATTAAGTTTCCTTTTAAAAACACTGTGCCAGGGCCGGGGATTTAGCTTAGTGGTTTCACCGCCTGCTGCATAAGTGCAAGGACCCGAGTTCGATCCCCAGTACCAAAAAATAAAACAAAGAAATAAAAATACTGTGCCGTGCATCATAATGTCATTGGCACTGTGGATTGAAATAATACCTGCTTTGTATTCTAAACTTATGGATAATTGATATTTATTTCTCCCTTCTTGTTCAAGAGTGTTAATGAAATCTCCGTCTACAGCATTACATCCACCTCAGAAATACAAAGATAGAGGAATTTTACATCCTAAACGAAGTACAGATGACCGATCAGATCAATCTTATTTAAAATCTACAGATATCAGTAGTTACCCAGGTCCTTGTGCTAGTCCTTCTCCTCCATCCTCAGGAAAGGTAGAGTATCTAAAAGTAGATGTTGTAAGGAAGAGATTTGTAGCACATCTCATGTTACGTATTTAAATATTTAACATTTTTGCTGGCTTGTACCACCAGTGACATGTGCGTGACTGTTCCATTGGGCAGCTTGTACCACCTGATGGGTCTGTCTCATGCCATTTGATGGGATAGTTGTGCATGTACCACTCACTGGTGGTGGTTCAGCACCATCTGGTGGCGAGACATATGAATTATGGCCTTGTTTTGAACGTGTTACACAGCGTTATAAAAGCTTCTTATCTGGTCTCTGTTCTATATATAAATTCATGCTGGCATACTGGAGACACTGTTTGCCAAACATTTCTAATTATTACCATCTTGGGGTATTTTAAAAGTAACAGATTATTCACTAATGGCATTATTCATTTCTTTCTTTAGAACCCTTTTGGTTAAATAACAAAAAAATTAAATTAATTTCAGTTTCTATTTTCAGAATTGAAAATATTAGTTTCTTTCAGTTGTTAATTTCTGCTATTCAGTACTTAACATACAAAAAATAAAAATTTAAAAATAAGATATAGAAAGTTTGAAGTCAGGTGGGTTGAAGATGTTGATATGGAATTGAAAACAATGTATCTTTTAAAGAATTTGCAATATGAATGACTTCATATGTTCAGAATGTTTACTTTGACTTTTCTGCATTAGTACATGAATAAATATTTGAGTCGGGGTTATTTAGCTACATAAAAATAACTGCTGTAGCAGTTTTGTTAAGAGGAAATATTTTTGTACATTTGCATTCTTAGGTTTGGGGTTGTTTGGTTTTTTTTGTCTATTAAGTTTTAATTTAAAGATAATAAAATTTACCAGTTTAAACTGTGCAGTTTACCGAATTTTGATAAGGTGTGACTGTATTTTGATAATCGTGTAACTATTCCATAGAAATGTACAGAGCAGTTCCATTGCCATAACTGCTGGTGACCGCTGATACACTCTCTGTGCCTAGAGTCTTCTCTAGAGTTTCCTATAAATGGAATCATTTGAAGGCAGCTTCTTGTGTTTGGCTTATTTCATTTAATATAATGCTTCTGAAATTCATCCATATTGTTGGGTTTTGTCTTAGTCACTTTCTTGTTGCTGGGACAAAATGCCTGACATCTGCAACTTAAGGGAAGAGAAGTTTATTTTGACTTACATTTCAGTCCACAGTTGGTTGGCTCCAAGGCAGGCATGACCCAGCAGAGGAGCATGGTGGACAGGAAGCAGAGATTCAAGGCAGGAGCAGTGGGAAGGGAGAGATAACCTTCAAGGCTGTGCCCACAGTGACCTTCCTCTTCTGACCAGCCCCACCTCCTATAAGCAAACCAACTATAATGCCCTTATTGTCCAGTCACCTTCCAAAGATCCTGCATATGATCCTGTGAGACTTTAGGGGGACATCTAGACATAAACCATTATAAGTCTTGTTTTGTTTTGTTGAGACAGGGTCTCACTGTGTATTCCAGATTGGCCTTGAACTCACTATGTAGCCCAGGCTGGCCTCAGACTCATTTTGGTCTTCCTGCCTTAGCCTCCTCAGTGCTAAGATTACAGATGTGTGCAACTAAAACTGGTTAACAAGTTTATTATTAATTACTTTTATTTCTGAGTAGTATTCCATTGTATGGCTATACCACAGTTTGTTTACTCATTCACTAATTGGTAATCATTTGGATTATTTCTACTGTTTGGCTATGATGAATAAACCTGCTACAATAATTGAATATAGGCCTTTGTGTATAAATATGTTTTATATTTTGGGGCAGGTATGCAGGAGTAGGATTGTGGGATTATATAGTATATGTGTGTTTCACTTAACAAGAAACTCCCGAAGTATTTTCCAAAACTATTATACTATTTTGTATTCCCTTCAACAATCTCGAAGTGTTCTATTTGTTCCATATTCTTTTTATTTATTTATTTTTATTTCATTTTGTTGGTTTGAAACAGAGTTTTGGTACATAGTCCGTGTTGGCCTTCAACTTGCTATATTTATTTGTTATAAACAAAGTCTTGCTATATTGTTGGCCTTCAACTTGCTATTGTAGCCTAGATTGGTTGGGAACTCACAGCAATCTTCCTGCCTCAGCTTCCTGGGTGCTAGGATTACAAGTGTCCGCTACCATACCTAGCTAATTTACTCCATATTCTTGACAAAACTTGTTTTGTAATTTTAGCCATTCTAATGGATATGTAGTGATAACACATTGCAGTTTTTTAAATTTGCATTTCTCCAATGACTAATGATGTTTGGCAGCTTTTCTGATCGTGTTGTAAATACTACATTTTGTCCATTCTTCTGTGGACAGACATTTAGGCTGTTTCCAAGATTTAGCTGCTGTGAACATGGGTGTGCATGTATCACTGTAATGTGATGTCTTTAATTCTTTTGGGAGGATACCTAGAAGGAGAATAGTTAGGTCAAATGAAATTTCTAGTTCAGTATTTTTGAGGAATCTCTATACTGATTTCCATAGTGATTGTACTAGTTTTCCTTCCCACCAACAGTGTAGAAAGGTTTCTTTTTCCCTTACAGCCTCTTCACAATTTGTTATTATTTGATTTCTTAATGATGGCATGCTTTCTGGGCTAAGATGAAGTCACAATGTTGTTTTAATTTGCATTTCTCTATTGGCCAGTGATATTGAACAATTCTTCATGTATTTATTAGCCATTTATACTTCTGTGAAGTGTCTATTCATTTTGCTTGCCCATTTTTTGATTGAGTCTTTTATTTTGGGAACTTTTTTTTTTAGTTCTTTATTCTAGATATATGTTCTAGATGTATGTCCTGTGAGGAATTGCTGGAAAAAGTTTTTTTTTTAATCAATCTGTAGGTTGTCTTTTTCACTGTGCTACTCTGTTGATTCTTTTGATGTGTAGATACTTTTAATCTGATATGATCCCATTTGTTGATTCTCAGGACTATTTCCTGTGCAGCTGGAGTCTGTTCAGAAAGCCTTTGCCTACACCTGTGACTTCAAGAGTTTTACCTATTTTGTTTTCTAGTGATTTCAGTGTTTCTGGTTTAACATTTAGTTCTGTGATCCATTTTGATTTTATTTTAGTACATGGTAAGAAATAAGGGTCTAGATTCAGTCTTCTGCATGTGCATAGCCAGTTTTACCAGCACCTGTTAAAGAGACCATCTTTTCTCCTTCCAGGGTATGTTTTTGGGGCCCTTGTCAAAAATCAAATGGTTGAATGTACTTGGGGTTATTTTTGCATCCTCTGTTGTATTTCATTGATCCTCATGTCTGTTTTTGTGTTGATACTATGCTGGTTTTTCTTTTTCTTTTTTTGAGACAGGGTCTTGATATGTAGTTAAGGCTGGCCTTGAACTCACTATGGTAGCCCTGGCTGGCCTCAAACTTGTGACAATCCTCCTGCCTCAGCCTTGCAAGTGCTGGGATCACAGGCATGCACCACCACACCTGGGTCCATGCTGTTTTTAATCATAGTAGCTTTGTAATATGACTTCAGATTCAGAATCATGATCCCTCCTGCTTTGCTCTTTTTAACGGAGATATGCTTTTGCTATTCTGCGTTTCTTCTGGTTCATATGAATTTTAAGATTGTTTTCTCCAGTTCTGTGAAGAATGTTGTTGGTATTTTGATTGGGATTGTATTAAATCTGTGTATTAATTTTGGAAATATGACTGTTTTGACTATATTGGTTCTACCTGTCCAGGATATCTTTCCATTTTCTGATGTCCTCTTCAATTACCTTTTTCAGAGTACTGTGGTTTTCATTATAGGAATCTTTTACTTTCTTAGGTTAATTTCTTTTTTTTTTTTTTTTTGCGATACTAGGGATCGAACTCAGATCCTTGCACTTGTGAGGCAGGCAGCGGAACCACTGAGCTAAATCCTCGGCCCTCTTAGGTTAATTTCTAAGTCTTTAAATTTTCGTGGTGGTATTGTGAATGATATTTTTTTCTCAGTGGGTTCATTATTAGTGTACAAGAATACTATTGTTTTTTGTGTGTTGATTTTGTATTCTGCTACATTACTGAACTTGGTTATTCTAGGAGTCTTCGGATGGATTTTGGGGGGATCCTCTGGCTATGTCTTTTTAGGTTTACTGATATTTTTATTGTCTCATGTAGTTCATTCTTTCTAATATGTTTTCAAATATTATGTTTTTATATCCAGAAATTCCGTTGGACTCTATAAAAATATCTTTTTTGCTTTTCATTGTGTTCATGTATTCCTGTACCTTCCTGAACATTGTGATCTTATTTTTAGTAGCTGCTTTAATACTCTTGTCTCTTAAATCTGCCATATATGAGTCTGTTTCTGTTGATTACTTTTTCATGGTAATAAAACATATTCTTCAGTATTTTTCTCATTCTTTTGGTTCTTTTGTTTTTTTGTGTTTTTTTTGGTACCGGGGATTGAACTTGGCACCTTGCGCTTGGGAGGCAGGCGACAGAACCACTGAGCTAAATCCCTGGCACTTTTCTCATTCTTATAAACTTACTTGGTTGCTTGAGAATTGTTATAGACCCTTAATTTATTTTAGGCTTTGTTTTATTGTATAGTTTAATCCTTTTGAGGTGTGATTGCAAGTAGTGTTAGAATGGGTCCACAGAGTAATCTTTATTCTGGTATTAATTTAACGTTAGCACTAAGGTGTGGCCCTTCTGTGGGCCAGTGCCCTAAGTATTACACAGTCTCTGTTCTAGCCGAGGATGACGTGAAATATTCTCAGCCAAATGTGAGCTCTCATAATTGTTTGGTGTCCTGCTGTGCTCTGAATCTTTTCCTAGACTCAGTACATTTTGTTCGTTACTCATTTCAGGTCAGTGGGGACCTCTCTATGCAATCCCTTTCTATCTAGTACACTGCCATGTATACTATAGGGACCTTATTCTCTAAACTCCAGTCTCTTTGTAACTCAGTGAGACTACTGGATAATTTGTCATTTTTTTTTCCACCTAGAAATTGTCTCCAGGCAGTAAGCTGGAGCAATTTTAGTTTTGTTTTCAGAATATGAAAGTTTATTAAATTTTTTTGTTAATATATTTGGAATATAAAACAAAGTCGATAACCCAGGATCTTTTTTTTTTTTGAAAGCTTTAAAAATGAGTGCTGCTTTTTGGCTTTAAATTTAACTTTATTTTGGCTGATCCTTGTATTAATTTTCAGGCATGATAGAACTGTTTGCATTTGTTAAATGTTTTGGTTTATTTGTCTATGAAAATGTTTGTTTTTTGAAGATGTTATTTAATGGAGCCTACTACTTTTAAAAGTTCAAATTACCTTTCAGGAACTTGTGCCTTCTTTTATAGGGCTCAAAATCTCCATCACCAAGACCAAATATGCCTGTTCGATACTTCATAATGAAGAGTAGCAATCTGAGAAACCTTGAAATTTCTCAACAAAAGGGTATCTGGTCTACAACCCCAAGTAATGAGCGAAAGCTAAATCGAGCCTTTTGGGAAAGCAGCATGGTTTACTTGGTATTTTCTGTTCAAGGATCTGGACATTTCCAGGTGAGCCATTCTGAAACAAGAATGGGCTTGTTCTGGCTACAGATTACATCAGAAAGAAAAAACAAAACGATACTGGCTCTTTATTTCCTTGGAATACAAGAATGTCTTTGGCTTAAGGAATGTTTCACATCTCTTCAAGAACTAGGATCCTTCGGTTTTTACCTTGTTTGACTAAAGCCTCTGGATAAATAGTTTTTCCTTCTGAAGACATCTTTAGATTCACTAGTTCTTGTGTAGATTAAAAGAGAAACTTTACCTTTTCATAAATAGGTTGAAAAAGTTAATATTGACAGTGAAGAAACTAAGTATAATTAACTCTTCTTGACTTATTGTATACCTGGATTTATAAAATATGAATTTAATATTGATATTAACAGTTTTAAAAATAAAAACTTAGAGGTTTGATTGTATTATTTTTATGTATTAAATATGGGGTTAGAACTTATGTTAAATCAGAATTGGTCTTCTAAAACTTGATCATAAATCTTTTTATAAAAATTAAATAGCTTTTTATGTTGTTTTTAGGAAACTCAAACTTATCAGATAAATTTATTTATTTTAATATTCTCACCTTCACTCTTTCCCTTCATTTTCCCTACAGGGATTTTCAAGGATGTCTTCAGAGATAGGAAGGGAGAAGAGCCAGGACTGGGGCTCAACTGGACTAGGGGGTGTATTTAAGGTGGAGTGGATAAGAAAAGAAAGCCTTCCCTTTCAGTTTGCACACCATTTACTGAATCCTTGGAATGACAACAAGAAAGTACAGATAAGCAGAGATGGGCAGGTATACACTGGTATTTAATTTTTTCCTTTTACTTCGGATTTTATTTTCTTTTGATATTATTCAGTGCCTAGAGAAGAAAACCTACAAATTTTATATTCCATATGTATATGGAAACAGTGATTTTGATAAAATTATACTTGCAAATGTGTCTTATAGCTTTTTTAGCATTTTGTAAATTGTGTTTCTTGCCATCATAGCATGTGTGAAATCTTTCATAAGTTGCTTCATGGTGGTTACTTTAATATATGATCAAAATTTAATGCAGTCATAAGGTAATTTGACAAGTCTCAAAATGAAACAGTATTTAACTTCTCTGTATCATTTTAACTAATTATGTAAATAACCTTTTATAGTCTAGTAGCTTGCTTTATTTTTATTATATTTTACTTTGCTTTTGTGATACTACTTGTGTACATTTTAAGCTAGTTATAATACTGAGAATTAACATAGTGTTAAGATATACTGCCAGCTGTGTACTTTATATAATTCTTATAAATGAAATGAGTTATTAGCCCAATTTTATGTAGAAAATAGATTTACATATTAACTTTGCCTAACATCACATAGTTATTAATGTGAGAGTTGACTAGATTTAGAGCTCTAGGTTTTTTTTTTGGTACCGGGGATCGAATACAGGACCTTGCGCTTGTGAGGCAGGCGACAGCGCCCCTGAGCCAAATCCCCAGCCCTCATAGTTATTAATCTGAACCAGTGTGGCTTACTTCAAATCTCCATGGGAAAAGCATTCACGATCCTTTTAAAGTATTCATCAGAGGTATTATGCCACAGGAAAACTATAAAGTGGAATTCTTTTCATTTCTATAGTAATATTTTCATTTTATTTTATAATAAGCATTAGAAATAATTTAAGTAATTCCTAAGATTAGGATGTATTGTCACTTAAGATAGTTTCTTGGTGAAAAAATCATAAAACATGTAACATGATAGGTTTCACAGTAAACCTTTGAAAATTCAAGTTAAGTGCTTTTGTTGTTTCCATTTAATACAAAATACTATTTCCAGATAGACAAAATTCCAGAAGGACGTCATGGAAATCTGTTGCCATGTGTAACAAAAGTTAAGATAATTTGTACATTAACTACAGTCTTAAATCAGAAAGTCAACTTTATTCACCCTAAATTTAGCAAGGAATTAGAATGATGTGTACCATATAATTTTAGCATGTTCTGGTAAAAATAAAACTTAAAGTGATTTTTTTTTTAACATTTTTATCAGCATGGATTTTGCTGATTAAATAAAGTTTTAATCTTTTTATGTTTATTTTACTTTTGATTTATCCAGGAACTAGAACCTCAGGTTGGTGAACAGTTGCTCCAATTATGGGAACGCCTTCCATTGGGAGAAAAACCCACCACTGACTGACACTCAGGTTGTACCATACTTGACTTTGAGTACTGGCAGCATTTATTTTCATTAAGATGACTTTCATATTATTTATTTATTTTTTTCTTTTTTCTCTTGTAGAACTCAGCTGTGGAAGAAATCATGCCTGTTATAACTATTGAATGCACTGACTTCCAAAAATTTAGATAGGGTTGTGTGTCTCTGAATGGCCTTTTCTTGTTTAGAATGTTGCTTCAGAGTCACCACCATCTTTATATATAAGAGAAAAGGATCATTTAAATCTTTATAGTGGGCTGAAGATACAGCTCAGTGACAAGTGCAAGGTCCTGAGTTCGATCTCCGGTACTGGGAAAAAAAATATATAATCTAAGTCTATAGTGACCAGAGAGGATACCTAGGTAGTGTTTGTTAATCATCTCTTTATTAAGGAATAAAATAGTAATAGTTCATTATTTGACATAGCAATATATTTAAAACAAACAATTTGAAGTTAAACATTTCCATAAAACCCTGACTTAACAATTCTTACTGATGACTTTGTAATGTGGGAAAGGCCTGAATATATCAGTACCTCTGAGCACCATTTTAGAAGAGTCACTGAGCATTATTTTAGAAGAGTCAATGCTTTAAGAAATATCATTAACGAGTACAACCAATGAGCCAAATTCTAAAGATATCACCTTTAAAAATAGAGTATTTGGGCTGGGGATTTAGCTCAGCGGTTCTGCTGCCTGCCTTGCAAGCACAAGGTCCCGAATTCAATCCCCGGTACCAAAAAAAAAAAAAAAGGTATAATAAGGTCTATTCATGTTACCATTTTTAATCTGAGTATATTAAAGAAAAAAGGGATGTTCTTTTGCTCTGATTATAAAATGCAGTAAAAGCTGAAAAAAGGGCACAATTCCTCCCTGTCTTTGATTTGATGTTTAGTTTTATTCCTGGTCCTATCTCTTTTAACTTGATGTATACTATACCCTTTCTTTCTTTCCTCCCATTTAACAAACTTCACAAATCTTTTATATGAGCACAGTAATTATGATCTTTTTGTGTTGGTTACAAAAACTTGATTTAGATAAAAGTTAAAAACAAATTCATAAAAGTTTTAAGTGCTCAGTAGTTATTGGTAGTTATTAGTATCATTATAGCTTGGTTGCTATGTTTTTGAAACTAAAATGCAGAAAGACCACAGATCCAAAAGGCTTCTTCCATTTATTTTTCATTACTTTTTCTTGACTTATATTCTCAGATACGATTTACCTCTTTTTCACATTTATAGTTTAATAATTTTTTTCTTTTTTCTTTTGTAAACCTGTGCTAATGCCAAGTTACGTACTTATTGGCATTCTCAGGATTATTTGACTTGATATTGTTTATAAAGTTTTCTTAGAGTGCTCGCTTTGGCAGCACATATAAAAAAGTTTTCTTAGAGACTTTTTTTTTGGTTCCGGGGATTGAACTCAGAACCTTGGCTCCTTGCACGGCAGGTGCTGGAACCACTGAGCTAAATCCCCGGCCCTCTCAGAGACTTTTTAAAGGGAAAATAGAGGTACAGGGAAAAGTGAAAGAAATGTCTTGGTTTCTAAGCTCTAAGTATTGAACATGTTTGATATATTTTTCATGATACATTTGAGTCATTATTATTAAAAGAACATGAATCCAATTTAAAGACCAAAAAGAAAACTCGTAAGTTCTCTGGTTCTCCATTTGAGAATAAAGAAGTGAAAAATTATGGCTCAATATAAAATCTTAAGAATCCTCTACTTTTTTGGTAAAACGATGTATATTAGTATGCTAATTTAGAATGTCAGCTGTGAATTTTGCCTCTATTAGTAATTAGCTTTTTAAAAATACTTTGAGACATACCTGTAAATGGAGCTTATGTGAATTCTGTGAATTATCTTTCATTGTATCTATTACTTTTTTTCTTATTAGAATAACTTGTATTTTTCTGATAATGTATACTTTTTAAAAGTATACATTTAGTAGTTCACATTGTTCAAACTTTGGAAGGACTTTTTAAAATTAAAACTTGTTTTAAATTTTAATCTGCTTTCTAATATTTAGCCCTGTATATAAATGATGAGTTTGTTGGTAAAATAAATACAATTTGAATGTAATTAAAATGCTGTTTTTGGAGGAGATGAACTTTAAATATCCTTATTAAATGAAATTCTATTAAATTATTCCAATCTTGTCATTTCTGATACTAATAGAACAAAGCTAACAATGATCAAAAATATACCCTGACATATTAGTGAATTTTATACTGATAGTAAATTGAAGAATACTAAGTTGAATTTAGAGTGATAGTTTCATATTACTACCCTCTCCATGGCAAGAATCTCAAGATTGATGTGTGTTCAGTATATTTTAAATCTTAAAAAAAAAATGACAAGTAGGAAATTTATACTATAATGAAACATCTATACATATTATGGAGAGTACCTTGTACTTAAATGTCAGAATTTTTCCACTCGAAAAACATGGAATGCCCGGTGTTTGCCAAATCCTGTTCATATGTTTCTTTGTAGAAAGTAGTAGTACTGAAGCCACTTGGTCCTTTTATCTTCTAATTTGTTTCTACTGATTCACTGGAAGCAGTTCATTGTCCTTTACTGATAATAAATATTTGCTTAATAGCACTAATGGTGGCATACTAAGATATATTAAGTACAGTTCTTTTTTTTTTTTTTTGTACTGGGGCTCGAACTCAGGTCCTTGTGCTTGTGCAGCAGGCGGCAAAACCACTGAGCTAAATCCCCAGCCCTCAAGTACAGTTCTTGCTGTCCAGGAGAAGTTTATATTCTTGTGGGTAACAATTTTATTTGGTGTCATATAGAACAATTAAATCAAAGACCAAGTGCTAAGGCACTAAGAAGAGGATAATAATTGAAGACTTCCTGATGAAGTTGTCTTTCAATATACCCTTAAGAATAGATAGAATTTAAAAGGTTTGGGTAGTAAAGACCTGGGAAAAGACAAGTTATTTTGGGGAATATATATATATATATATATATATATATGGTTTGTTATAGTTCTTGGAAAGTTTTTATTAATAGGAATTTTACCACGTGAAACATTTATAAGAACTAAGAATGATAAATCTAGGAGCTCTTGAGCTTTTGTGTGTATATGAGAGTACCTGTTAAACAGACTTCCTTGACAACCCCCCATTTGAATGACAAGTAATTTTGTAAGAGCTCAAGAATCTGCATGTTTAGCGGACTGTTTTCAAATGGACCATGAGAACAGATTAATAAAACCCCAAAATACCTTTGGATGTGTTATGGCTTCTATCTAGATCCTCCCACCAAGCCTCATGTGATCATAGGTGGGGATTTGAGGAGGTGATTGAATCACGGGTGTGCTGTCCTCTTTGGTGGAATTATTGGTAAATGCACTGTTAGGTGGGGCCTGGTTGGAAGAGGTGGGTGACAGGGCTTGGCCTAGAGGGTTATATCTCTCTCCCTAGCTCCTTCCTTCCCTCTCTCTTCTACTTGCCACAAGGTGAGCAGCTTTTCCTCCTCCATGCCCCTCTGCCATGCTGTTTCTTCTTCAAAGCCAGCTGACCTATGGACTGAAATATGAGCCAAAATAAACCTCTCCTTTAGGAAGTGGGCATCAGGTATTGTGTCTCAGCAATGAAATAACTAAGACAGTACGTTTTAAAGTTCATGTTACATCAACCCAAAGTATTCACGTTATTCATCTTGTGCAATAAAATGATAGAGGTTATTGGAGTGCTAGAGGTATGTTTAGTCAACTTTGTGTTGCTGTGTCAAAATACCTGAGAGTAACAAAGGGAAGTTTATTTTGGCTCATGGTTTCAGTCTGTGGTTGGCTGGCTCCATTGCTGTAGGTCTCTGGTGATGGAGAACATCATGGTAGAGAGGGCATGGCCAAGCAAAGCAGAGTTATTTTTTGAAAGCCCCTCAGTTGCCAACTAAGCTCCCAGAATATAGCATTTGGGAATCTCCCTTTCCCTCTCCACCTCCCTCTCCCTGTCCACCTCCCATCTCCCCATCTCCCCATCTCTGTCTCCAGCTGTCTCCAGCTCCTATCCCAACCCCTGTCCTCATCTTTTGAGTCAGGGTCTCACTAGGTATATAATTCAGGCTTGCCTTGAACTCATTGTATAGCCCAGGCTGACCTCAAACTCTTGATGATTTCCTGCCTCAGCCTCCCATGGGCTGGTATTACAGGGGTGAACCACCACACTCAGCTTTCTGGGACATGTTTAGATCCAAGTTATAACAAAGCGCTTAGTGAAACATTGACCTTCTTGCAAGAAGTACCATATTGTATCAAACTCTGCACTTAGAGTACCTCTTAGGACAAACTCAAATGCTAGATGTAAAAGCAGCAAATTGCTTGACTTTTCTGACCTCCAATTTTTAAATGTGAAAAGTGAAAATAATACCATCCCTGTCTTATGGGATATTGGAAGGATCAAATGAAAGTGCTTGGAAAAATATGAATACTACAAATAGAAGTTTTTAGTATTTGCTTAATAGTGTTTCATACACTGAACAATGATTCTTAACATATTTATTCAGTAGTTAGGTGCTCATTGCCTAGTATAACCTAGAATCTGTTACAGGCTTGAGTACAGCAATAAATCACACTCATGGAGCTTCTGTTATAGTGCAACACCTCATGAGGTGATCTTCAATTATCTAGTAATACAGGAAAGCATACTGTGTATACAATAATGGGAAAAACTGCAAATCCCTTTGAAGTAAAGATACGAAGTTTAAGAGGCCCAAACTGGTATATTTGATATTCATTAACATGGAGACGATATTTTAAAACCTCATTTTGGGGGTTTAGGATCAATATCCATACCTTCTTTTGCGAAAAGAACTGTAGAAGAAAACCTGAGTGAGTAATCCTAAGGAAAAGGGAGTAAACTGCTTGATAGAGTTGATCCTGTCTGTCATGCTACAAAACTGGATTTGTGAACACGATGCACCTGAGAAGATAGGTCTATAGGTTCAGTGTAATCTTGGATGTTAGGCTGAAGTGTCTTTTAATAATGAAATGTGCTAAGGCTGCCTATTAAGGAGCCTGGCTTAATCTGGTTTACCTGTATATTTGATAAATGTTCAGAGACTATGCCTGTTTCCTCAGTTTGTAAGAAAGGCAGGAGAAGTGACTTACTGGGTTGTTTACTGTGGGAGGAGGGATCGTGTGTACTTAGCTTAACTCTTCATGGATTCTCTATCTGTACTTTATTGCAACTGACAATTTCTTTGGGAGCAACGTGTATTCTAAAAATGAAAGCAGGAAATACCATCATCTAACTTTTGTATTAAATACATAAAGTACAATTAAATCATTTGAGCAGAGCACACTAATGGAGATAAGCTCTTGTAGATGTTTCTTGAGTTTTCCTCCTAAGCATTTATATGCACACACACCCCATCCATCCATCTGTTGAAATCAAGACACTTTTACATATACATTGAAATTCAGTGAATTAATGTTTCATAAATACTTTGAGGTCTTCTATCAATTTGAAAGTCACGATTACTCAAAGTATTTGAAACACAGAATGTTCTCATTTAGCCAAATGAAAAAAAATGACAACCAAAATGAGAGATCAAATTTAGAATAAATATATACACATATACTTATGCATATATTGTGTCCCTACAGAGACAGTGAAAAAGAAAAGGGTAGTTTTTGGTGGGAACAGGTCTTTTGAGTTTGTTTCTACAGTGCCGAAAAGAACAAATGCTATGTATTTTTGTCTATCATGGTTAGTCAGTATTAGAAATAGGCTCCTAATTTAGTATACTGGAAAAGTGTTTCTAAGTTTCCTGTGCAGAATCTTTTGGCTAGTTTGTGAAACAGTTTTCATGTTTTAGTTAGCTTTCAGACAAAAATCCACTATACACTTAAAAGATCTGGTTTAGGAAGTAAAAATATATGTGATTATATAAGATTATAACAATTATGTAAGTGGATAAATACTAAGAATGAAAAACCCATAAAATGATGCAAAAACTGCTGTTCTCAGCAATTTTAAGGTAACATTTCTTAATTTTCCATCATTCTAAAAAAATAGTGGCAAAACAATTATGTTTAATTAGGGAAGTAATCACAGAGGCTTCAAAAAAGTATAATGTTTCTCATGTCCGCCTCCCTACACCTTCCCCCTCAGTAAAAGGCTAACTTGCTGTTTGAATGATTTGATGGGATGTATTTAAATTATCCTTGGGTCTACTGCACATAGTGTATGGATTTAAGATTTGGCTAAATTTTCTAATTTCTGATTTCTAGCATCTCAAGGCACAAAAAGGAAAAGTAATCAAGTCCTATTTTCATGAATGAGAGTATCTTTGTAATTTTTCTTTAGTCTTTATTGACTATGATTTCTCAAATGCTGTGGGTTAAATACAGTGCTATTCAGGAAAAGCAGATGAATATGATAATGTGAAGGAATTCTGGGAGTTTTTAGTTTCACATACTTCATTGTTTACTTATCCTTCTGGCCTAAAAGTTCATTGAGAAATGTATTCCATTACATCTAGTATTGAGTCATTGTACACTGGTCTTTTGATAAGAGAAATATATGCATTTATTAGCTAACAACTGGGAGTTGAGTTTGAGAGTGAGATGAAAGTAGATTGAAACAGCACTATTATACACAGTGTTTATGTAGAAAGTTGGAATCGAAAGTAGTACTACTGATGATATCTATTCAGGGGAATGGGAAGGCAAGGAGGGAGGCAACTTGTGATTGAAAATATGTTTCATTTCATAATATGCACATAAGAATTATTGTTTGCAACTGAGGCCAATGTCAGATTTTATTGCTACTTTTTTCTTTAAGGATACCATATTTTCACAGCTTAGTGTATCATCTGCTACTATTTTTCTGATTATCTGGTACTTTATTGCAAACTATTCTTCAGTGAGCTCGTGCATTTTCAATCCTTTGTCCAGTTTATATTTGTTCCTTCTGATTTTCTGAGTAGTTTAGAGTTCTACAGCTATCCACCTTCTAGAACGTTCTGTCAGGACACATGGTACAGCATTATGGTGGCATGCCATTCTGTCTATTGAACTTTTTTTTTTTATATTCTTTTATTGGTACATTGTAGGTATACAACACAATTATATTTCTCATTGGGAATTTTACCTTTACATAATGCATCTTGGTTCTCATTTGTTCCCC